TATATATATATATATATATACATATGTCTATACATATACATATAAATATACATATATAATCTATACAACATATACATCCATATACTATGTATAATAAATAAATATCCCTATATAAATAATTAAATAAATAAATAAATAATCCCTATATAAATAAATAAATAAATATCCCTATATAAATAAATAAATAAATAAATAAATAAATAAATATTTTATTTATTTATTTATTTATTTATTTATTGTTTTTTATGATGATGGTGCATCTTTTCTTTTAATGAACTAATAAAACTATGTTTCCCTTTCTCTGCATGCGCTTCTCTCTTATCTGCTGCTGCTGCTGTTGCTGCAGTTGGTGCTGCTGCTGCTGCTGCTGCTGCAGTTGGTGCAGCTGCTGCAGCAGGAGTACTCTGTTGCGGTGCGCCAGTTAGGGGCCTGAACGCCCACGCAGCAGCACAAAGTATCTTTCCTTCTTTTTCTTTCCTTATTTATTTATTCTTCCCCCTCTCCTCCTCTTTTTTTTTTTTATTTATTAATTAATTATTCCTCCTCTTCCTCTCCTCTATTCTCTCCTCTATATTCACTATAAAAACTAGGAAAAAAAAAAAAAAGCTAGAGCTGCCTATACACCTGAAAACCCTAAACCCTACACTATAATAAACCCTAAACCCTAAAAAAAAAAAAAAATAAATAAAATAAATAAATAAATAAATAAATAATAATAATAATAATTAATTAGTAATTAAAACGGTAAAGTTAATAGCGCTGAGTTTTTTATATTCAATGCGTATATATATATAACAACCATTTACTGCTGCTGCTGCTGCTGTTGCTGCTGCTGCTGCTGCAGCAATAAGCTACATGCATGCATATATAAATGGTGTATATATAGTAAAAGATATATATATATATATATATTATTAATATAAGCAATATAATAATAAAGAAATAAATAAATATATTTATTTCTTATAAACAGGACATAAACCTGAATATATATATACATATATAAATATATATACATATATATGACGTCCTTTTTTTGCTGCTGCAGTAACAACAGCAGCAACAGCAGCAACAGGAGCAGCAAAGAATAAACAACTTACTTTCCTGCATCAAGAGCAGCAATAGCTTTTTGCATCTCTAGTACCTCATCAATAGATCCTTGTAGTAACTTTTTCTCCTCCTGATTAAGATCTAATTCTATGATTTGTTCTATCCCTTTTCCTCCTATTATACAAGGGACACCTAGATAATGATTATTAACATTATATTGTCCATTAAGGTAACAAGAAGAAACAAATAATCTTTTTTTATCCTTAAGGTAACTTTCTGCCATTAATATTGCACTAGTACCTGGTGCATAATATGCACTTCCTTGTCCTAATAATCTTACTATATCTCCTCCTGCTTGCTTAGTCTTATTATATATATTATTTATATCTTCCTTATTTATTAATCCTTTATTAATAAATTCTTGTATAGGTATACCATTAATAGTTATATAACGCATAAGAGGTAACATATTATCTCCATGTACACCTATTACCATACCCTGTACGTCATGAGGAGATACATGCAAACAATCAGCAATCATTCTCCTTAGTCTTGATGAATCTAGCATCCCTGCCATGCCACAGATCATATGTTTAGGTACATTTGCTGCTTCTTGTACAGCAGCAACCATTACATCTAAAGGATTTGTTATATTTATTATAAATGCATTAGGACAATATTTCTTTATTGCTCCTCCTACCTCACGCATTATTTTTATATTTACTGGTAATAAATCCATTCTTGACCATTCTTTATCACTTTTACCGGGTATTTTTGTTATACCTGCAGTAATTATAACTACATCTGCGTTAGTTAGACATTCATAGCTATTAGATCCGTATACAGTTATACCGTTGTCTACTACAGATGAATTATGACATAAATCCATCGCTTTTCCCATAGGCATATCTGCAAAAAACATTAAAATACATCCTTTATTATATTATTAGAGAAAAAATGCAAAAAAAATACACAAAAATTCATAAAATTATTACAGTCAGAGGTGCATATACACCCCAATACTATTCCTCCATTCTATCAACATTACATACATATTTATTATTATTTATACAAATTTTATTTATTTTATTCATTTTTATCCTATTTTTATACACAGACATACTATTTATATACATATATACATACATATTTATATATACTGCTCCCCTCTACCTCCCTCCTCTTCCTCCTCTTGTTTTTTTGTGGTGGTGTGTGCTACAGCGTGTGTCGCAATTATGTGCACAAATAAAAGAGGGAAAAAACAAGAGAAAAATAAATTAAATATATTATTTATAGTGCTTATTTATTTATATTTATATTTATACTTACTAGGTACAACGTCAAAGAGAACAACATCTCCTAATTCCTTAAGACTGCATAAGAATGCCATGGTGCCTCCAATCATGCCAGAGCCCACGAGGGCAATCTTAGGGCGCTTATTTTGCTCAAAAACCGCCATTTTTATTTATTTATTCAATTAAATTATAAAGAATATTATTTATTTTATTAAAAAATAAAAAAATATCCAGAAAATATGATTTATTTTACGTCTATATATGTATAATATATATATACATATATATATATACCCCCCAATATAATGCGTACAGAGAAGATGAATATACACCGCAAATAATTGAGGTGTATAGGCACCTTATTTTATTCTTTTTTTGTATTAATTGATGAATTATTTATTTAGTAAAAAGCAAAAGAAATACGTCTGGTATTATACAATACAACAAAAACAAGAAGGCTGCTACTCCTGCTGCTGCTGCTGCAGCGGGGAGGAGAGAGAGAGGAGCTACACTACTGAGGCGCCGCTACATACACGCTGTGCGGTGCAGCAGCAGCAGCAGCAGCAGCAACCCCCGCACCCTTAGCAGCAGCAGCAATAAATACATATATTTATTATTTATTTATTCTTATTTTTATTCCTTTTTATACTATTTATTTATTTTTATATTATATAACTAATATATATACACAATATTTATATTTTTTTATATCCCCTCTCCTCCTCCTAGGGTGTATGTACACCACACACACACACACCCACACACACACACACACCCACACACACACACACAAGGAGGCAGAGGATAAGGGATATATATATATTAATGCACTCTGCTGCTGCTGCTGCTTTTGTTGTTGTTATTGTTATTCTTGCTACTCCTGTTGCTCCTGCTGCTCTTATAAGACACACATAGCAGCATATTATATACAGAAGCAGCACCAGCAGCAGACAGAAGCAGCAGCAAAAGCAGAAGCACATACTAGCAGCAGCAGCAAGTAGTAGTAATAGATAATAGATAATATGGTGTAAATAACACCAGCAGCAACAGCAGATAGAAGAAGCAACAGAAGCAGCAGCAGCAGCAGCAGCAGCAGGTATATATATATTATATTATTTACTACTTTTATCCTTATAAGAGGTACACAGAGGAAGGAAAATAAGCTGCCTATACACCCCAATTTGCTGCTGCTGCACAGTTAATTGCTGCACCTAAATATTATTAATTATATAAATAATATTTATTTATATTCTCTTGCTGCTGCTGCTGCTGTTGTTTAGTTGTAGTTGCAGCAGCACACTTCGAGTGTTCTGCTGCTGCACACTACAGCAGCAGCAGCAGCAGCAGCAAATAGTTATTATTAATAAACAAATAAATAAGTAATAAATAAATAAATAAATAATTTATTTGCTCCTTTTGTCTATCATAAATAAAAAGAAGAAAAAAGGACTTCTTTTTTCCCCCCTAATACCTGCTAGCTAGTCAGCTGCTGCTGCTGCTGCTGCTGCTGTTGTTGTTGCTGCTTCTGCTGCTGTAGCTAGTTAAGACGTAATTTAATTGTGCTGCTGCTGCTGTAAGTTGTTACACACTTTGCTGCTGCTGCTGCTGTCGCAACATATTGAGACGCACTTTGCTGCTGCTGCTGCTGCTTGTTGAGACGAGACGCACTTGCTGCTGATGCTGCTGCTGCTGCTGATGCTGCTGCTGCTGCTGTTGCTGCTGCTGCTGCTGCTGCTGCAGATCGAGACGTATCGAGACGCACTTTGTTGTAGTTGTTGCTGCTGCTGCAGCAAGTCGATACACACTTTGCTGCTGCTGCTGCTGCTGCTATTGGAGACGCACTTTGCTGCTGCTGCTGCTGCAGCTATTGGAGACGCACTTTGCTGCTGCTGCTGCTGCTGCTGCAGCTATTGGAGACGTACTTTGGTGCTGCTGCTGCTGCTGCAGCTATTGGAGACGTACTTTGGTGCTGCTGCTGCAGCAAGCTGTGACGCTATGTGCTGCTGCTGCTGCTGCTGTTGCTGCTGCAGCAAGTCGAGACACACTTTGTCGTTGGTGTTGCTGCTGCTGCTGCTGCTGCTGCTGCTGCTGTTGCTGTTGCACACACTGTGCTGCTGCTAATGATGCGAAGCAGCGCTGCATGCATGCAAAGATAATCATTGTCTGCTGCATGCAGAGACAATAAAAAACACCTTTTGCTGCTGCTGTTGCTGCTGCTGGTTGTCTGCTGTGTGTGCACCTTAGAGGGACAGCAGCAGCAGCAGCAGACCACCTTTTGCTGCTGCTGCTGCTGCTTCTCTGCTGTGTGTGCACGTAAGAGGGACAGCAGCAGCAGCAGCAGCAGCAAACTTCCGCTGCAGCAGCAACACCTAAGCTAACACAGGCATCAGTCTCTCCCCAGATTGCTGCTGCTTGTCTTGCTGCTGCTGCTGCTCGTGGAGCTGTTGCATGCATTGCTTTGCTTCTACCTCCCTTGCTGCTGCTGCTGTCCTGTCTGCATGCATGCATTATATAAAAAAGAAAGAAAGGAATTTACTTGCTGCTGCTGCAGCAGCAGCAGCAGCAGCAAACAAAATAAGTTAATTAATACATATAAATAATATTTATATTCTTTTTTTCTCCTTATAAGGCAATAAATAAATTAATTAATTTGTTGCTTATTTATATATTAGTAATAAATAAATAAACAAATTATTTATTTATTTATTTATTTATTTATTTATTAATAATATTGTTACTTATTTTATAGATAATTATTTATTTATTTATTTATTATTATATAATACAAACAATAATATATTATTAATTAATAATAAATATTTATATTAATAAAATAAATAATATATAATTATTTATATAATAATTATATATAATAATATTTACTTATAAATATTATTATATATATAAATAAATATACTTTTTCTCCTCTTTTTATACCTTATAAGAGATTAATAATAATAATAATATTAATATTATTATTATTATTAATAATTATTATATATATAATTATTATTGTATTTATATTAATTATTTTATTTATAATAATAATAATAATTATTATTATTATTATTAT